CCTTCGTCGGGCAGATTACAATACGATCATGCAGGAACAAACCTTGGCAAACCTTCGAACCTATTTTTTTTGGAAATTGTACTATTCTCGACCTAAATAACCAGAGAAGACCTAAATAACCTCCTCCCCCCCCCCATCCTCGGTGTCAAACATTTTTTTTTATTTAATTCGAATCTTCTCTGATTCTAGAATGTCCCTACAACATTTCATGTGAAAATCTCAAGAACTCTTGAAGATATGGCCGATTTATTGGGTCAGCATCAAGGGACGGCAAGAGTGATTCTTAAACTTTAAACGCATTTTTCTCGGGCACGATAACTCAAAAACTTATCATCCAATCGGTCCCAAATTTTGACACGTTTCTCTGGGAGTGTATAGCTCTCGTATGAACTAGGATAAAGCCAATCGGTGAAGATCTTCCTTATTTTTTAACTTAGTTTGTGGTAAAAAATAGGCGGTTTTCCAAAAAAAAAAATCAAAGTTCCGCCATTTTGTTAATTGTTGTGCGAAGTCAATAATCTTAGTTCATACCTGAGCCAGACAAGTACTCTTTCTAACATCGTTTGAATTTTTGGATTCCGATGTTCCAGTGAGGAGTTATCATGCCCGCCATCAAAAATAAGGACTTTTCTTTGAGAATGGGGGGTGGGGGTCCCTTAAAGGCGTGTATTCTTAAAAAAAAATAATTTTGAAGGTGTGGGTTTAAAAAATCTTTTTGAAAGTCTATCACAGGCGTGGATTTTTGAAGAAGCATTTTTGAAGGCCTGTCACAGGCGTGGATTTTTGTAATCATCTGTCACAACTGTGAATTTTTAAATAATAATTTTTGAATGCGTGGATTTTTAAAGAATTGTTTTTGAAGATCTGTAACAGGCGGGGATTTTTTATAAAAATCACTATTGAAGATCTGTCACAGGCGTGAATTTTTAAAAAAAAAATCGCTTTTGAAGATCTGTCACAGGCGTGAGTTTGTAAAAAATAATTTTTGAAAATCTGTCGCAGGCGCGGTTTAAAAAAACTCAGTTTTGAAAATCTGTCGCAGGCATGGATTTAAAACAAAATCACTTTTGAAGATCTGTTACAGGCGTGGGTTTGTAAAAAATCATTTTTGAAAATCGGTTTAAAAAAACTCAGTTTTGAAGATCAGTCGCAGGCGCGGTTTAAAAAAAACTCATTTTTAAAGATCTGTCGCTGACGCAGATTAGAAAAAACTCATTTTTGAAGATCTGTTGGAGACGCGGATTAAAAAAATCATTTTTGAAGATCTGTCGCAGGCGCGAAAAAAATGTTTTTAAGTCACAGTCGTGGGTTTTTAGAAATTCATTTTTGAAAAACTACCACAGTAATTTTTGAAGGTCTAAATTATAAGCGCTAAAAAATGTTTAGAAACAAATATAAGCTTATATTATTTAAATATATAAAAAGTAGAGGACAGTATTTATCATTTAAAAATATTAAAAAAAACTACGCCTTTATTTGCTTTATCTAAAATATTTAAAAAACATATAGGAATATTTGCCTAATAAAAAATATTTTAAAAAATATTCGCCTATATTTGCCCTATTAAAAATATTTAAAAAAATATATTAGAAAACATATTTAAATCCCCAGAATCGTTTTTTCACAAATTCCCATAATTACAAGCATAAAGCCACCTTCTTCTTCCATAACTAATAATTTTCCAAGAAATAAGAATCTCCACCCTTCATTAAGACAATCACATGACAATGAAACCGAATCTTGTTTTCACTTTTTAAAAAATCTTTGCTCCCTACTGAGCCGGATAGACCGACAGACATGGCGGCATTTTTCTTAAAATCTACTTCCATTGGCTTTATTACATTTTGCAAGAAAATTATAATGTTTGGGATGTCTGTCTGAGTGTGTGTGTGTGTGTTTGGAGTGCATGCGGTTTAAAAAGGAAAACATCCAAGGGCTATGGCCAACGAAAAAAATGCATAATTTATCTCTGGCCAACTATCAGGTTATTAAAGAAGAGCAAAAGTGGTTAACGCTTGTCATTTTCACATGTAAACACAGCGTAAATTGATGGCAAATATGAAGCAATCTCATCATCATCCAGGAGGGGGGAGCCATCAGTGAAAAAATCAAAAACAAAAAATATCGGAATAAAAAGGAGCCACAATAGCTTTTCGATAAATGGAATTTCCATGATTAGAAAATATTCCGAGATTGTAAGGTACTCCTTGAGTTATTCACATTCCATTTATGTGGAATGTACTGTATTTGTAAATATTCAAGAGATGTTGTTGTTGCTGGCGATTCTTTCATGCCAGGGTACCTACTGGCCATTATAAGCCACAGCGAACTAAGGATACAACAATAACAACAAAATAGAGAAAAACAAGTTAAATTTTAAAGCCAATTATAACTACCAAAGGGCTCCTCTTTTGCTTTAACTTGGCTTATTTAGGTTCGAACCAAAAATGAATAACAACAAGCCGGGGCATTAAGTTAGGCAACCAGCCGGCCATCCACCTACCAGCCTCCTTTACACTCACAACCTCCTATGAATGGTAATACTAACAAAGAACCAAAACAAGAACTCAATAAACCATGGATGGGGTTCTTCATCCATAGCTAAACTTTAGCATTTGGTGCTGGTCTTATTCAAACCGCCTGCTGCCACACAAGGCGAGAGGTCCACAAGGAATAGAAAAAAAAACGACCACAACTAGACCACCAACAAATATTATATTACCATCATCATCGGCGTCATCATCTTCATTGCCATAGTTATCATATATAGTTTTTTCTATTCCTATTCTTATTTTCATCTCGATTTTGTTGTTATTGCTGTTGCTTTTGGAATAACTGATGAAGGAATAATAGTGCCAACAACAACAACAACCACAACTGTGGAGTATGACTGGCATCAAAACGCCTTTCAGCTGATGCTGTTATGCGCCATGGCTGCTGCTGACAATGATGATGCTTTTGATGCATGTCAAAAAGTGGTTATTTGTTGTTGTTGTTGTTGGTTTATTTTTTTTTCTGATTCTCTCTATTTAATATTCAATGACATGTTTAATATGGTTATGGCTTGTATGCATCAGCAACAGCAGAAACCTTTTGCTGCTGCTGCCCACCACGAAGTGCCTACACGTCGATTCCTACGTAAAGATTAAAATTGCGGAACATCATCTTAACGAATGCTAATTGTTTTTAAATGCGGAATATTTTCTGAACTGATATATTATCGTGGTGTAGATGCATAGCTTAATTGCAAATGGAGGGTATATTTAAATGAAAACAAAACTACTTGGAGAAGATCAAAAAATAGTCTATTAAAAAATCACCAGGTATTTAGAAAAATACTTAGAAAAAATCTACATTTTGATTTGTCCTTTAAACGAATGTTTTAAAAAAAATCTACGCCTACATTTGTCTCTTAAAAATATGTTTAAAGATCTGCGCCTATATTTGCCCCTTAAAAAATATTCTAAAAAATCTACGCCAATATTTGTCCCTTTAAAAAAATATTTTTTAAATCTACGCCTATATTTGTCCATTAAAAAAATGATTTTTTAAAATCAACGCCTATATTTGTTCCTTAACCATATTTTAGAAATTCTACGCTTATATTTGCTACCTAAAAAATGTAAAAAAAATCTACGTCCCCATTTGTCCCTAAAAAATTTAAAAAAAATCTACGTCACCTAAAAATTTCGTGAAAAAACGCGAGCTAGTAGTCGATCACAAAGGTATCAAACTATTTTTTAGTACAGGTAATCGTCGTCAGATGGCGCGTGGTGTTTTGTAGCGTAGACATGATCCGAGTGTGGTGAATTATAGAAGCCACATTGTAAGCGATATCACAAATGCGCGGTTTTAGTTCCGTCAATTGATGTCATTGACTGAACTAAAAAATGTCATATAACACACAGTTTTAATCGAATTCCCATATTCTCCCTACTCTATCTTTGGTACTTTAAAAGCATTTTTTTAATTTAGATTCTGATGGTTCACGGAAAAAAAATACCTCAAAAAATTAATATATCTTCTGTAATAAGAAGAATATATATATATATATACAGTGGCTCCATCGAATAATCGGACAAGTGGTTGTCAGATATAATAATGCTATACATTTCAAATTCTGGCATACCTCCGGTTCCAGTAAAACCTCCTTAAGCTGTACTAAGGAGTTAAATTTTTTTTCATACACTCTCCTAGCTAATTTTTCCCAAAGATGCTCAATTACGTTAAGGTCTGGGCTCTGTGTAGGTGTTTGCAGTTATGGATCAACCAAAGCTTTGCAACACCTGATGTGTGCTTGGGATCGTTGTCTTGATAAAAGGCAAAGTTGTTCGCGACACCCAATTTGTCTGCACTTTGCTTTACATTTTGTTTTAAAATGTTGAGGTAGACAAATTTGTCCATTTTACCATCAGTAAAATGCAAATTGCCTACTCCCGCACTCGACATGCAGCCCTAACCCTAACAGAACCTCCTCCGTGCTTAACAGTGGCCTTTGTATTCTTATGATTAAATTCAGCATTTGGCTTACGCCACACGTACATCTTTCCATCTGATCCGTGCAAATTAAATTTGCTTTCGTCAGTAAACAGAACCTTAATAAACAGAACCTTAATAAAACTATCAATAGAAATGTATTTTAAGATGATCTATCATCAAATTACCTGATTCCAAAAATCTTCTGGTTTTAGTAAATACTCCTTTTGTCCGATTATGCGATGGAGCCACTGTATATATATATATATATATATATATATCGCTTCTGTTGATAGAACATACTCTTTATATTCTTCTGTTATAGGAAATTATTATTTAAAAGCCTTGGGAAATATTACATCTTATTGTCGGTATTTTCCCTTTTTTGGAAATTCCCATTCATCTAGAATGAACTTTTCATGTCTTCCAAGAATATCTGATCATATTTTTAATTGGAATTAAATTAAACATTTTAATTTTGTATCAACATTAATTGGTATTTTATATTTTCTTTCTCCTTACAGGGTTCAGATCCCCGTGCCGCCACATGCCGTGGTAAATTACAGACACGTCGTTGCAAATTAAATCAGGAAATCAATAAAGAGTTACGATTGAGAGCCGGTGCTGAAAACCTCTATAAGGTAAGGCATCATATTATTCAATGAATCATTTAATCTTATTTTTATATAAAAATGAATCTCTGCTTCACCCTCTACCCTTTTCCCCCACACAGGCAACCACAAATCGTAAATTACGTGATACCGTTGCACTGGAGCTAAGTTTTGTCAATTCCAATTTACAATTATTAAAAGAACAATTGGCTGAATTGAATTCATCGGTGGAGGTATATCAGAACAATAGGTGAGTCTCCAAACATACACGCATATACATATATATTTTAAATTAATTTAAGTTGCATCTGAGTTGATTTGAATTTTATTTATAAGAAAATTAAATTTGAATACTGCGATGTTTGATTCGTTTATCGGTTTTGGGAGGGAGAGCTATAGTCATGTGGTATTTTGAATGAAATTAAAATTTTTTCTGAGAAAAGGTCATTGCTCGAAAAAAGATAGGCAAGGGGCTAATCAAGATCATAAGGAAGGGAAAAAGAAATGAAAATCTTTATTTGAACCCTGGTTCCCATGGCATCTGTTGATTGCTGTCCGGCGCCTTAGCGTTCATAGCCACCTCCTTATCTTCCTTAGGTTGCACAATATGCAGTTGCATACCATTGAAGAAAAATATTGTAGTCTGTATGGAAAAAAAGTCCGTCACTACAAGAAGAATCTGCTCTGAAAAGAAATGTCCGAAGCTTGACACGGTTGAATTTAATTCGTAGATGCAATTTCGCAACAATAGTCGACATAAATACAACTTATCAAGTAAAGACATTGGAAGCCACATTGCCCAATATGCCTGATGAGCCGCTTAACCAACGGGAAACGCGTCGCATAATGGTGGGAATGTAGTATCTCTCTGGTTTTCCTTTTCATTGCAACTCCGATCATGTAGATCATCTCGAAAGATAAATTAAGAAAGAAAATCTTTATGATATCTAGACATGTTCTGTAGAATACCAAATTCTTTTTATGTTTATAGATGACCTCTTAAAGGACTTTCATCTATGGAACTAGAGGACCTATACAAAATCTTTCACATATAACAAAAGACCTATAAAGTTCTTTTAATTATAGGAAACATATTGCTCTTTTCTTTAATAATATTTTTCTATAGACTATCAGTGTCTAGATTTTACAAATAAAATAACGAAGCGAGTAGAGAGAATATGGGATTTCGATCAAAGTGGTATTTAGCTGGTCGAATGACATTTACAGTCGAATAGCGATCATGTCTTTGCTATCGATCACAGGGTGCCAACTACAATTCACCACACTTGGAGTGTACGTGGCTATACTAAACATACACGTGACGCCATCTGATGGTAACTGTCTGAACTAAAAATGTAATATTACACCATTTTCATCGAAGTCCCATAATCTCCCTACTAGTGCGTGTTTTTTGCGAATAAAAACCCAGAGGATTTTTAAACTTATCTTTTTAATTCAAACTACCATCAATGCTTGATTTTTTAAAATAATATTCCATAAGCAATGCGTGGAATATTATGGCGATCGTGTCTTTGCTATCGGTCACAGGGTGCCAACTATAATTCACCACACTTAGAGTGGTGCGCGTCTATACTATACATACACGTAACGCCATCTGATGGTAACTGTCTGAACTAAAAATGTACTATTACACCATTTTCATCGAAGTCTCTTAATCCCCCTACTAGTGCGTGTTTTTTGCGAATAAAAATCCAGAGGATTTTTAAACTTATCTTTTTAATTCAAATTCAAATAAGCAATGCGCGGATTTGTATAATAACATCGGTATAGGCTGCAATATCTAGTGTATCATAAAGTCCCCATCAACTTTGGTCATTACTTGATCATTTTTCTCTGTATTATATCAAAGTTTATACGATAGCCATCCAGAAACTAATATTTCTTTTTTTTTTGCGAATATGTCGGGATATGTGTAGGGGGGTTCTTTGGCGAAAAATAAGACTGACGACGTAATGAATTTTTATGCTCCATATCTGTTGTTCTCTTCATATGTTTGCATATATATCTTGAGGGATTTTTGTAGTGGTTGTTGATGGTATTTAGAAGAACAGAACGTTACTCCAAACATCCATTTGATTTCGTGTGTTTCGGCAGTGTTTGTTTCCCTTGCCAGGTTTGTGGCCATTCTCATGGCCGCCGACTAACGATATGTGGTGACTTAACTTCTTCCTGTTAGCCATTAAGATTTAAGTTAGCGATTGATTTAAGTCAATGTCGTCATGGTGGTGCTGGTGTTTGCAGTCTGTTCTTTACCATTTTTTTTTTTTTTTTGAAGGAATCTAATAGGAGGATTTGATTCCAGCACTTTGTGTTAAAAGGTAGAGGTTGGATACATGCAACTGACTACGACTTTGGCCTTATGTGTTTTTGGTTGGCTATGAGTGTGTTTCGTAGTTTTTTGTGCTAAGAAGGAAGCATTGCCTTGGAAAAGAAAATGTTAGTTTGCCAGTTCGGTTCTCAGATGCTGTATTTGATTTTTGTTAGAATTGTGCAAAGACATGCAACCCTATTTCCCCGAAGCTATAAATTTATGTCCCAATGTAATTGTTTTAAATAGTTTTTTGTTGTATTTTTTTTCTTTTGTTGTTTCTCATTGTAGAAAAACAAAACATTTAATTAAGGCTAAATAATGAAGCCTAGTGTCGGAATATATTTATGTTTATTTTGCATATGCCGTTAAAAGAAGAAAGTAGTTCTGAAGAAAACAAAAAATTGTACATTCTTAGAAAGGAAACATTAATTCTATAGAATGAAGTGCTGCCTGGAAGTGATCAGCAGCTGAAATTTTATGTAAAAGTCCTGTAGAACATTTCCTATATAAGAATGCGATCTAAAAAAATTTCTGTTTTTAAAAAACATTAAGAAAATCTTATACAAAATTAGTTCCTCCAGCGATCTTCTTACCATGACTTAATTTCTCGTGGATCAGTTGCGATCTTCTAAAAAGCTAACGAAATATCCGATTGTGCTTGAGAGTATCTAATATGGAAAGAGACATATCTTGAGTTCTTCTTCTAAAATCGAAGAGGGTTTGGAAAGAATTTGAACTTAATATATACCAACTCTCCCCTGGGACCTTTTTTCAATGTGGAAGAGAATGCCTTCAGGTCTTCGTTGGTATACGAAGGGTCCTTGAGAACCTTGTATATACTCTAGACATCCTATATTAAGCAAGTCAGTGTGTTTTGAATATAATGCTTTATGACTTTCTTTTATGAACGAATATCCATTATAATATGCCCTATTAAAATTATATAATGAGACAATCCATTGAAGAAGTTATAATTATAAAAACTCAAAACATTGTGTATAGTTTTCCATTTCAAAAACACCTTTAGAATGCCTTCCCACAATTGAAGTCTTCTAATTAAAATCAGATCTCTAGAAAATCATCTTTCAGAAAAATCCTACAGATGATCTAGAGAATACCTATAGGAGGTCATTCATATATGGGATACCCAAAGAAAGTTTTATATTACAAAAGTTCAAGTATTTTGGAAGACTTGTATGTTTTATATTTAAAAACTAATGATAGGACTTTTTTCTCTTCTAGAAGGTCTTATATACATACACAGAAAAATAATTCGTATATTATATGTACAGTGTTCATTAAGTGTTGTTAATGTCCGGATTTCTGCATTTTATGAAAGCAATTCCTATAATTTTAAATACTGGTTCTTGTCAGCGAGAGAGAGCGGCAAAAAAACTTTAGAGTTGTGTTTGGTGGTGGTGGCGGGATTTCTATGGCACAGAAGCGTCGTTATAGCAATCCTATAGAATGTAAAAAGCCACCTCCTTATCTTCCTAAGGTTGCACAATATGCAGTTGCATACCATTGAAGAAAAATATTGTAGTCTGTATGGAAAAAAAGTCCGTCACTACAAGAAAAATCTGCTCTGAAAAAGGAATGTTCTGGTGTGATGCCAAATGTCCGAACCTTGACACGGTTGAATTTAATTCGTAGATGCAATTTCGCAACAATAGTCGACATAAATACAACTTATCATGTAAAGACATTTGTAAGCCACATTGCCCAATATGCCTGATGAGCCGCTTAACCAACGGCGAAACGCGTCGCATAGTGGTGGGAATTTTGTATCTCTCTGGCTTTCCTTTTCATTGCAACTCCGATCATGTAGCTCATCTCGAAAGAGAAATTAATAAGTAAAAAATTTTCGTTTGAGCATTTTCCTTGTATCAACACTTATTTACTATATTGTATTTGGTATTTATATCGAAATTATTCGGAAAACATATATGCGAATTTTATAACACCAATGAAGAGATCAATAGTAGTGTCTAAAATACAGAAAAAAATTGAATACAAACAAGAGGAAAACAAAACTAACAACCACCAAGTGAGGGCAGAGACGGAGAACGAAACCAAAACAAAATACAGCCGAACAATGAATGGTGGTTGCTATTTTTCATGGCAGAAATACATTTGTTTTTGCCAAGGGAGAGAGAGAGGAAAAAATCAGATCAAATAGTAGTAAAGTATGAAAACAGTTTTCATATTTATGAAATGTTTACATTTTTTGGATAAAAATAGTGGTATTCTCATGATTATAGGAAGTTTTACTTGTATTCTAAACGAAGTACATGTACAGAATGGAAAAAATAAACAATGAATGCAAATATTCAAAGTATTTTTCTATATATGACAAATCTAAACCTGTCAAAGATCTTTTATTTATCGAAGGCCAATAGAAGAAGTTCATAGAAAACCAGTAAGAAAAGTAGTAAAGTCGGACTGGCCGACTATATGATTGTGTGCGGGTCGGGCAATCTTTGGGTCTTTAGTGCACAATTTAAATTAAATCGGAGGAAAGTATATATTGGTGCCATATCTAAATCTGAACCGATTTTCACTTAGCACACATCTTTCTGGACCCAATTCAGCACCCTATGCCAAATTTCGTGCAACTCGAATGATATATAAAGACTATGGAGACCCATTTATCTTAAATCGGACGCATATATATATGGGAGCTATATATAAATCTGACCCGATTTTCTCGAAACTTGGCACACGTCATTCTTGACCTAATTCAGTACTTTATGCCATATTTCGTGCAAATCGAAAGTTATATAGGATCTTTAGTGCACCATTTACCTTAAATCGGACGAAACTATATATGGGATCTATATCTAAATTTGAACCGATTTTCACGAAACTTGGCATATATCATTCTGGACTTAATTCAGTACTCTGTGCCAAATTTCGTG